GGGCGTGTAAGAAAGCTGGGACAGACTTTTTAGCAGGGCCTGTTGGGACAGGACAGGGGATGATGGTTTTAAAGTAAAAAAGGGGAGATTTAGACTAGAGAGAAGGAAGAAATGTTGGATGCTGAGGGTGGTGAGCCCCTGTCCCAGGCTGCCCAGAGAGGTGGTCGCTGCCCCATCCCTGGAACCATCCCAGGTGAGGTTGGCCGGGGCTCTGAGCACCCTGCTCTAGCTGCAGATGTCCCTGCAGGGCATTGGACTGGGTGACTTTGACAGGTCCCTTCCCACCCAAACCATTCTATGTTAACTGCCCTAGGTGTGGAGTATCTTCTCCACTGAATGCCCCTTGATCATGGTTGAATTTTTTTGTACCAAACCACCACAAACTGCTATCAGCTCAGAAATCTTGCTGTGTTCTGGCTTTGTTTTTACTTCATCTTGCAGACCTTCATACCCTACATGCTCTTGCAGGCAGTGATAACAGTATTGTTTTTGGATCACAGTATTTTCTTATTCTTACTTTCCAAGCTCAGGATCCTTGCTAGGCATGGAAGGTGCACCAGAACACCTTCTGGCAGTGAGAGTCTGCATCACCTGCTCGGGCACAGCATGGCCACTGTTGAAAGAAGAGCTCTTTACAACTTCAGCTATTTAATCCCAGCAGGCACTGCAGGGACACTTGGAAGACAGTGTCCCACCAAAATAAACTCTGCTCCTTGGGAGTGAACCATCCAATTGCTGAATTTTTGGCCAGGGAGTGAACCATTGCAGTACATCCCCAGCTGTGGTGCATGCTAACAGAAGTCTATGCTAACTTGTGTGAGGCCAGCTTTTGGCTTTCATCAGGTCCCTCTGAGCCTGCTAACCCCTGAAAGAGTGGATAGTCTTCTGCCAGGTTAGAGACCTGAGCCAGCTCGTGGTGTGATGCTGAAGGGGCAGGAGCCAACAGAAGAAGGGAGCAGATGAGCAGGGGCAGGACTGTGGGTGTGGGAGTGTGTTGGACATGAGGAACACCATCTCACCCGAGGCAGTGCCAGTCCTGGAGCTTAGCAGAGCCACCCATAAAGACTGCAACCTACAGCATTTAAAATTGAGGTGACTGGGTGCTCAAGATAGTTGTTGTGCTTGATCAAGTGTTTGCATCTGCAGATGGACATTCAGTTAGCTAGTAAGGACATGGCCATTGACTGTGGTAGCTGGAGTGCTGTATCTGCACAGCAAACCTTCTTTGGTGTGAGGGTGCAGAGCCTGGAGCAGCTGCCCAGAGAGGCTGTGGAGTCTCCTGCTCTGGAGAGATCCCAAACCCACCTGGCTGTGACCCTGGGCACCCTGCTGTGGGTGAGCTGCTGGAGCAGGGGGGTTGGATGAGATGATCTCCAGAGGTCCCTCCCAACCCCACCGTGCTGGGATCCTGGGATTTAGCAGAGCACAGTGTTTGCTCATCTAACCTTGTGTGTCCCATCTCCACCATACCAGTCATTTGTTGCTTTGGTAGAAATACTTCTTGAAGCTTTGAGGAAGGACAGCAGAAAGAAATAAAGCTACCCTGTTACTTAGCCACATTCTTCCCAAGAACACGCAGACAATATTTTGTCCCAAGTCCCTTAACAGAGAGCCTGAGGAGAGATTTCACAATCATAAAAATGTAATTAGCCCCCAGGGCTTTGGGGAAATATAATTTCTTATACCATATCTTCTTATTGAGGGGAGAGGGGAGAAGGGGAGGTTATTGTACTTGAAAATAAAACATATGGCTGTGTCATTTGAAGAAGTCTTTTTAGATAAGATTGTAGAGAAGTCCATCCCTGCTGCCTTGTAGGCAGCATTTGTGCCAGGAGCAGCAGACAGCAAGCCCAAGGCATCCTCCACAGCGTGCAGGCTGCTGGCCTGAGTAGCTCAGTGTCTGAGAGCTGTGTGATGCTTTTAGGCTGGTTTTGGCTTAGATAACCACTGAAGCTGTTGAGGATTTGGGGATTGCTCAGACAGCAGTGACTTGGTGTCTTCTACAGAGTCTCCTGCAAGACCTTGTTGGTGGAAGGGTTCCACTGACCTGGGTGGTGAGGGACACTGCATCCAGAGTGGGTCAGGCATGTGGGTGTCTGTACTCAGGTCTTTGTAAGGACTTCATAATTTTTACCAAGGACACCTTGGGGTGATGGGAAGAAATGCCCTTTACTCTCCAGCTGGCTGGGAGGTTTGTTGCAGGTATGAAGCATTTCTTCTGTCCTGGGAGATGTAAGGAGAGACTCGTCCTTGCAAGTAATCCCCAAGTCATACAGGCTTTCTGCTAGTCTCTGCTGCTGACCTCAACCCAAATCTGCCTGTGCTGCTGTGGTGTCCATCTGCTGATGGGGAACAGTAAGAACACTTGCCACAGTTGTGTCTCCTCTAGGATACTCGGAATAATCTCTCCAAGTCCTCTTTTTTATCCTTTACCCTCACTTAGATGCAGGATATCCTGCCAAGTGTGCAAAGCTGTTAGAAGGGGGAACAGAGAAGCAGGCCTGGTTTGTTCCTTCTCTCAGCCTACTCTGTTTCTGTTAAATTTAGTGAATATTTTCACTTTTTTGTTGATAGTTTTTTAAATTTTTTTGCCAGATATGACAAACTTTGGGATCACCTTGGTCCCCTTGAAGTCGATACCAAGATTCCCACCTTCCACAGAAGATGGGGTTTGATGCCCAGAAGTTGAGTCGTTGGTGCCTTCCTTGTGAGTCTTCCACCTGGGAAGACCAATTTCTGCTTTCCTGTCCTCAGAAGGAGCTTGACATAAGACCAGACTTGGAAGACACGCCAGCTGCTCAGCTGGTTGGTCACACCATCCGAAGAGGACGCATGACCCATAAATTGCAGGCACAACATGAAGAAATACATCCTATAAATACGTCCCATAAATAATAACTGGGGGCCTCGTGCATTTTTCAGGGCTGTAATAGAATTGCAGGTTTTTGGGTGGTTTGTGACCTTTCCCAGCAAGTCCCTCTGTGATGGCATAGACTCTGTATATGCTCTATACATACCAGGTAGAGGGTTTCCTGCTCCCCTAAATCAAGTGCTTGTCAGGAGTAGCTTGAATCAGTTGTATTTTGCCTTCCTTGTTGTTGTAGCTGTGTTTACAAGAGGTGTGTGTGTTACTGTCTCTGCCAGAGGAGCTTTTGGGAAAACTCTCTTAGGGCAGCCAAGATGAGTGCAGCCACTGTTTGAATAATTGTTTGTGTGTTTTGGTTTGGTTTGGTTTGGTTTGGTTTTCCTAGGTTGGCTGCCAGCACAAAGAACCCAGGGAAATAATTCCCAGTAAAATTTCAGTTTTCTTCTTTTTTTCTTCCTTTCCTTGACAAATTAAAAAAAAAAAAAAGAAAAATATTTCATTTTCCCAACCCCCTGAAGTGTTTCATTTCAGGCATTAAGAAAAGCAAGGGAAATGAAGGGTTAGGCTTCAAAGAAAGTGCCTGGGGGGGAGTTCCCATTTAGTGGCTCAGGGAGTGGAGCCCTCCTTTAGGATGGAGGAGACCTTGCTCCAACTCTTTCCTCTGCTGGAGAGCATTTGGACATGCTTGTCAGGAAAGTTTGCTAGGAACAGGCACTTTGGGGCTGAGGACAGGATTAAGTGAAAAATGAGTTGAAGGAGGCACGGGTAGATGTAAAAACAAAAGTAAGCAATGCTGAAAAAAACCCTGGTTTTTGATTTCAAGCTCTAATTTGGAAAACAAAACTGGAATTGTTTGTAATGTTTGTGAACACTGGCAAAAGGTGACTGTCAATTTTGGTTGATGTTGTCACGATGGGAATTCATGTCTCTGTATTTTAAAAGTCCAGTTTTATTAGCATGTGTTTTAAGATGTAATCCCTTTTTGTGCACAGCATAAATTGTTGAGAGCTGTGCAAATGGCCTGTTTGTGTGGACACATGATAAAAGAAAGCTTGATGCTAAATTAAGGGTTAAGAAAAAAAAATTCTCACTGAGGATAATTTAAAGCAAAAACAGGCTCATATTTTGCAAAAAGAATCCCAACAAAGCTGGAACTACAGAATCCCAGCATGGTGGGGTTGGAAGGGACCTCTGGGGATCATCTCACCCACTCCCCTGCTCCAGCAGCTCACCCACAGCAGGGTGCCCAGGGTCACAGCCAGGAGGGTTTGGGATCTCTCCAGAGCAGGAGACTCCACAGCCTCTCTGGGCAGCTGCTCCAGGCTCGGGCACCCTCATTTTGCAGTTTTCAGAGAGGAGTGAAGGCTGGGACTGGGGAGCCTCCTTGCAGCACTGTCTCAGCAGGCTTTGGTGACTAGCACCTCCTGGGATCGCGTCAGGAAGCCCTGCCGGCTGGGCAGCCATGCTCTGGGCCTCTTGCCAAAGTCTTTGGTGGGGCGTGGGGGGTAGCAGAGGCACGTTAGCACCCCCGGGAGCTGCTCTCACCCTGCTGTCCTGGCTGCAGGTCGTTGGACGGGCGGCTGCAGGTGTCTCACCGGAAGGGTCTGCCCCACGTCATCTACTGCCGGCTGTGGCGCTGGCCGGACCTCCACAGCCACCACGAGCTGCGCGCCATGGAGATGTGCGAGTACGCCTTCAACATGAAGAAAGATGAAGTCTGTGTGAATCCTTACCACTACCAAAGAGTGGAAACCCCAGGTACTGCCAGCCCCGCGCCCAGACCCCTCAGCTGCTCGCTGCCAGCCTGAGGGAATCATAAGTGCGTTTCAAAATTGAATAAAGCGGCAGCTGAAGGGCTTTCAAACCCAAGCGCATCTATTATGGATGGTAATCTCTTCCTGGATGCAGCAGAATAATTTATGAATCTGCACTCAGGGGGAAAATATCATTTGAGATTGATAAAATCCAAGTGGAGCGCATTGCCTTGTTGCCAGGTTCCTAACATGGCATCGTGTGCATGGAAACCACTCACACGTGTGGTGGATGCAGGGATGAACTACGGCCCTGTCCTGTGCATCCCTAATTGTTGGTGTTAATTTAAGGGTAAACTTACTGTTAAGTTGAAGTGGGTCTAAGAATAGCTTCCAACACAACCGAACTCCCTGCTCTGAAGTTTCCTCCTGCCTCTGAAAGAAACTTTCATCTGGAACTGCAGATCCTCCTGCTGCGTGTCAGTACAAATCTGCAGAACCAGTCTGGATGTTTGTGCTGATCCTGCCTTGCTGCTTCATTTTATGTGAAATTTATTCCTTTTGAATTATGTGGCATAACTTCTCTTAGCTCCTTTTTCAAGAAGACCTGTTCCTTTGCCTTGGAAGGGGCAGACAGACTAGGTGTGCTCAGATAAGCATGTATCCCACCCCTAGCTGAGATATGTTAAGAATAGCATCTTGAACTGCTGCTGCTATTTCAGAAGCAAGTATCAAATTGTGGCCCTTAATTAGCGCCTTTGGTGTTGCATGTGTTTCAGGGTGTTACTCCAAACTGGTTTCTCTTCATTTTCTAGGCTTTCAGTCAGTTTGTTTTAAAGCTGTTAACATAGCTGTGCTGTTTCTTTTTTCTCCCTTTCTGTCTCTGCAGTGTTACCTCCAGTGCTGGTGCCTCGGCACACCGAGATCCCAGCTGAGTTCCCGCCCTTAGACGATTACAGTCATTCTATTCCAGAGAACACTAACTTCCCAGCAGGGATTGAGCCACAGAGCAACTACATTCCAGGTATTGTATACCCTCCATACAGCCAGCCCAGGGAAAAGGGTCATATTGCACAGGGAATCGTGTCTCTGTGCCAAGCTGGATGCCTGGAAAGTCTTTCTTTCCATCCTTACTGTGAAGCTAAAGAGTAGGAACCTATGCAAAAATAGATGAAAGCTGTAAACGTAGCCACACAACAGTGCTGTTGATAGTTTTGTTTTCTTTAAACCCACCTCTTCCCTTCAGTAGCATGTCCTCAGTTTATTGCAGAACTAAAGCTCAGTGTTCCCTGAGCAAGTTTAGATTTGAATGAAATTCGGCCATTTCGATTTGAGTAAAACACTCGAAATTTCTGATGGAATTGAGCTCTTCTATTTATGTATCTCTTTTACAAGCAATTTACACCTTATTTGCATGGACAAGCTCTGCAGCTGCACGCCAGGAGAGGAGAAATATGTGGACAGAAAACTCTCTACATGGCTTAAAGTTTTATGGGACTGAAAATCCGGATTTTTTTTGTTTCCCCCCTCTTCTGTCATTCACAAATATGCTGTGCCTATTATCCTGGTTGTGCCAGCTCGTCCTCCCAGCAGCTTCAGGAGGAAAAGTAATAAAAAGGAAATTTAGTGAATTTTGAATAACAAAGTAGATGTTTTTGATGTCTAAAATTCAGATTTTGCATCCAGTTGTAATGACGTTGTGATCATTTTATGCTTCTAGAGACACCTCCTCCAGGCTATTTGAGTGAGGATGGAGAAACCAGTGACCACCAGATGAACCCCAGCATGGATGCAGGTAAGTCATCTTTTGCCATTTGCTGCAGCTTCCTAGGTCATTTCAGAGACTTTTAACATCAGTCTTTGGGGCACTGAGGATCAGATGGTGGTTTGAGGTATTTTATCCCTGCAGGAGTGCAAATGTAGCTTGAGATGTTGTGTAAAGCACAGGGATGTATGTTTTACAGCTGCAGGTGAAAGGAACAGCATGTTCCTGTTCTCCCCAACTCTGTCATTAGATACTACTAATCAGGAGCCTGACACAGGGGAGGCACACCTAAGGATGAGAGTTTCTGTTGTATTTGTGTCCATGCATCTGAATGGACATGAAAATTTTGTGCTTCTCTGCAGAAGCATTTTTCTGATTGCCTGTTATTTACTGTACATACTGAAATGTCCAGTTTAACTATATTTGAAATGACCACTAGCAGATTTGGTTTTAGATGAGTTTATCATTTGGTGGCTATATCCCAAAGAAAATTGAAGGTCTGGGTTCTCTCTCATTGCCCAGAAAACAAGTAACCAGGTTTAGAATGAGCAGCCTTAGTGTTCATGCTTAACCTGTGTCAACACTTCAGAATTCAACATGCAGGTCTCATCTTTGTGGAAGTCACTGTTAAAGGCACCTTGTTGATCTCAGTGGTGTCACTGCTTCTAAGAACCACCAAGTCAGACTCTGAACTTGTAAAACTTGTGCTTGAAAAGCAAACCCACGTCCTTGGTTAGGAGACCTGATGCTTTACAAGAGGGATGTGCAAATACTTGGCACTTGCATAAAGACAGACATGCAGAACCTAATTAATGCAAATACTGCACCCAAATATCTTGGTTTCTGTGCATGTCTTCAGCTGTAGAGCATACATGGGATTCTAAAAGAGGGATGACTGATGTGCGGTTCTCCAGATGGAGGAAGGCAGTGTGGGTTTGTTTGTCTGCATCAAGCATAAACCTATTGCCACCATCTATTTTAGCACATACAATTAATGGTCATGTGGTTGACATGTGGAATGTATGTATGGCTTTTTGGAAAGTGGGCTGGAAGAGGCTATAAATACACAATTTATGTTCAAATGCCATATCCCTTCCTTCAGATGCCATGGACTTCCCCCTTTACAGAAAAACAAATTTGAAAGAAACCAGACAAATCCAGAGCAAGAGGAAAAGGGAAAATAGGGCCTTTTTTCCCCACACTTCTCTGCATCCATGTGGCATCCAGAGGCTGTGGAAATTGCTCTGGACATCCAAGTGCAGATATTTGAAATACAGGCACCAAATTAGTGGGCCATTTCTGGAAATGGTTGGGGATAAAATTCTGACAGTTGTTTGGTCAGATCTGTGTAGCTTGATCTGATACTCCGCTGTCCCCAAACCAGTAAAATTTGGTGATATAAAGTGGTATGTTTTCAACTCTTATGAGTATGTTTTGTGCCTAGCAATGTAAAGTCAAGCTCTTAAAAGCCCAGCTAATTGGATTTGACTGTAGCTGTCATGCTGGTACGTGGAGATTTGATAACTTCAAGTGAAAGTCAAGCAGACAACTGCATGCTCAGTTTGGAAAATTAAAGGGTTAAGCTTAAGTGAATGCATTATGAAGATGCTTTAGCAGTATTCAGTTGCATCAAGCTGATATAGGTAATAGCATCTGGAAGCTCCTGTAAAGAGCAATCAACATCAGAGAAGCTGGTGGTGTCACAAAATGGGACTGAAGTGAGAAGTGGGTTATCCCTCCAACAAGCCTGGGCAGCACTGAGGATTCTGTGCCAGTGTTTTTCCTTCTGCAGACACCACACTAATAATTATAACGTCTTGATTTTCAGGTTCTCCAAACTTATCACCAAACCCCATGTCTCCAGCACACAATAATCTGGGTAAGCATGTGATCTTAAGAACTGTGTGTAATTACAGTCAAGGTAGTGACATTTTAATGATGATTTCTTGAAGTTGGGAGCTCTGTTGGTGCCTCTTTCTGCTAATCCTCTTTACCGTGGTAACAGTGGTTCATGGTAACTCTGTAGGAAGTAAAGAAATCTGTACTTACATCAGAGAGTTAAATAAAAACCTGAGAAATGCTGCCAGAGAAATACCTGAAAGAATGAGTGAAAATCTTCAGCAAAAATGCACTTTTTTGGTTACATGAGTTTGCGTGGACTATGTCTGTCTGTTTTGCTGGCGGGTTTGTCTTATAGTTTTTAAAGGATGAAGCTTGGGGTTAAATTTTGTCTCCTGGAACGTTACTTTGTGAATTTGTGGTGCTTACTGGTTTCCTTTACAATGCACCAGAGCACCTTGCATTTTTTCTCTATTTATTAACTTGCTGTTACTTGGCTTGCAGGGCACATGCTGCTGTCCACCCATCGTGGTCAGGGGGATGAGGTTCAGAGCAGCTCATTTGCCTGCACTGCTTCATCAGCTCAGGCAATCATCTGCTTGATGGAAGGGCAGCAAATGTGTTACACCCTCATGTAAACCCAGCTCAGGACCAAAGCCCCAGTCCCAGCAGAGCACATAAATACTGAGAGGGCAGGAATGCTGGTGGAGGGAGAGGTGCAGATGTCTGGGGCAGCCTTGCTTGAGCATTAGAGGTGTTTGTGGGGTCTTACACTCAAACAAGCCTGGAGATGAGATGCACAAATCACAGATGACTGACCAGCCAGTTGGTTTTCTTCAAGCAAACTCAAGTTATGCTGCAGTCTTGAGTTATCTTCCCCCCCCCTAACTCTGTGCTGGACACCAGGAAGACACTCCAGCCCTACATGCTGGTAGGCCATTGATGTCACTGGTTCACTCCATAACCTGTAGACAGGAGGGAAGCTGAAGAAGGAATAGCAGCTGAACAGGGCCATACCTCTGAGATACTTTTAGGAGTTTGTGGCTATTTGTGAACCTCTGTTATCTTCTCAAATGGCTCTGCCCTTTATTTTCATACTTGCAGACACAGAAGGTCTGATCTTCAGTCTGAGCTCTTACCCTATTTGAAATTGCTCTCAAAGGTCTGTCATAAAAGCACTCATAGCTCTGGCTAGCTGCAGGATCAGCTCTCTAAATGTTCATTAAGCCATCAGACAGGGGCCACTTGAGATTACTCTTGAATAACCATAGCCATAAAGTTTACATATGCTTTTAATCCTGGCACAGAGTACTTTGGCACTGCTCCAAAATATGTCAGTCATGGGCTGACTTGTGGATATCTGGGGGCTGTTGGAAGAGGGAATTTCTCTTCTTCCACCCCCCCACCCCACCTTTTTTAAAGCATGGGATATATTGCTATGGTGTCACTACATTTTTATGTTTTAACTGTTAAAGCCTAAGATGAGACTACATGGCCAACTTATTTTTATTTCATTTTTTCCTTCTGTTTGAATCCATTATGCTCCAGTGTGCTGCCTAGGAGTTGATGAGAATTTCTAGCCATTTTTTTTTCATCCTAAGAATAAAAAAGCCAATGAAATGTAACAAAACCAACCTGGCAAGTTGACTGTGGCATCTGCCTTATGTAAGGAAAAAAGGAGTTTCTAGGAAAGAGGCCCCAGCACGTATGGTTCCGAACAGGGGCAATGGTTATTAACACACACTGCTCAGATGAGGGGCCTGTCAGATGGCTCATGTGCTGTCTGGTGACAAAAATTAAGGAGGAGCAGGTGAAGCTGGTTAACCACCAGGAAATCTCTTTGTAGTCTAAGGAGCAGACATCAGAAAAGCATTTTGACTTACCAACATTAAAACGTAACTTTTAAGTTTTGCAAACCAAATATTTATTGCTCTTAGGCAAGAGCTTCCACAAATTAAGAACTTCTTGTCTCTTAAAAATTTCATTGTATGTTTTTGCATGTGAGGGAGCTACAGAATAATAAATGAAATGGCACATAGCTGAGCAACTCCTAAAACTGTCAAATGACAGATTTATCATCTGCTCATCTGCTCACAGATGGCATATCTCAAGTGAGGACACAAACTGGAACCCAGGAGGTTCCACCTGAACAGGAGGAAAAAATCCTTTGGTGTGAGGGTGTCTGAGCCTGGCCCAGGCTGCCCAGAGAGGCTGTGGAGTCTCCAGCTCTGGAAGGATTCCAAACTCTCTGGGACACGATCCTGGGCACCCTGCTGTGGGTGAGCTGCTGGAGCAGGGGTTGGATGAGATGATCTCCAGAGGTCCCTTCCAGCCCCACCACGCTGGGATCCTGTGAAACTAGTTGGGGGCTGGTGACCTGCAGTGCTCCTGCTTTTCCTGTGCTACATAATTCTGTGCCTAAGCAGAACACTCCAGTGTCTAGGGCTGTACTTGGATCTGCAGAAGCTTAATTGGTCTCTCTTTGTGTTTTTGTTAAAAAAATTGAATAGAAGTTTAAAAAACACAACAGCATACAATGAGGAAAATGATCAGCAAGTTCTCAGCAGCAGAACACAGTGGGTTTTAAGAAAATAATGTGACATTATTGAAGTCCATTTATTTGACCAGAACTACCTGAAGCTTTTAAGACAGTTTACTTTGTGCAAGCTGAACTTTGGACTTAAACCCCGTGGCCTTATTCCAGAGGATTGCACAGGCAATAAACCAGCACGAGGCAAACCCCCTAGGACAATAGGAGCAAGGTTTGTTTGGGGAGCAATGTACCTATTTCAGCAGCCAGTATTGAAGACTGCAGTGTGGGGCTGGAGGATCTGAGGGAGTTTCAGCTTCCCATCCAGAGGCACAGGAGTGTTGCAGGGTAACATAGTGGGGGGTTTCTTTTCTCCCTTCAGCTTGGGCGTTTCATTTGGTAGCAACCCAGTTTTGGTCCAAACTTTCAGTTGTCAAATTTTCAGTTGTCAAACATAAGCTGTAGGTGGAAGTTACAGATGTCCAAAGATCCCTTCTGTATTTCTGAAATACGAACTGGAGAGAATACAGAAAACAACTGAAATGGAAGGAGAGTTGCCAGCACTATGTGGCCGTTCGGAATGAAGTCAGGGAGTTTATGCTGGCCCAGGGCCACGCCTGAGGTTGCATGTGTATTGTTGTTTTGGAGTGAGGCAGTGCCTTGGTGTACAGGAAATCCATTGTCAGTGTTTGTGCCACGGAAGACTTGACGCAAAAGCTGTAAGTGAAATCAGCACATTCCCCACAGTCAGATCCATCAGGAGCGTAAGGCTCCGGTACTCTCTCTGTTCAAACACCGTTTCCCAAAGCAGTGGAAAGAATCATAGAATTACAGACTGG